TGTATTTGATAATTTCGCTGTAAGAATAACTCTTAAGATTTGCATGTTTTTCCAAATCTTAAACTGCTATTTTTAAAAGTATAGTGCTATAAACTTGGATTACAAATAAATAAGAAATACACTCCTTCGAGGACTGAAGCAGGACAGATTTATGGTTTTATTAATAAGTTGCCTGATTTCTTGTAATTCTGTCATTTTGTTAGAAAGATGTAGGCCTGTATCCTTACCCATCTTTGCATGTTCTTGCTCCACAACCAAGGTCTGAGAAGAACTTGTAGTGGTCGGGGGAGAAAAACATGTAGTGCTTAAGGTGGAATTTTTGTCTAAGAACAGAAACACTTGAAGGACGTGTCTTTCTCATTTCTTCTTGTTGCTTACCTGAATTTAGGGATGCGGGACTGTATTTCTAACCTGGCTGACTTGTTTCGTTCGTGTCGTTTGCAAAGGCTAATGTTGGCCTATATCATCCATCTTTTTTGCATCGTCCTCCTCCTCAGCCAAGGTTACAGACAGAGCCCTAGACTCTTGAGTCCAGGCAAGAACGACAGCAAAAAGGTCCTCTTCCTTGCGCGGATGTAGGGATTGAGGACCGTGTTTGTAACATGCCTGATATGTTTTATTTAATCGTTTTCTAGGAGAAATGTTTTGCCTGTATCCTCCGGCTCCATGCCTCGTCTTCCTCCTTGCCATGTTCTTCCTTCCTCCTCCTCACACATACACACACAACCTTGCCATGTTATCTTCTTACTACTCCTCTTCCCGTCTCCTTCTGCTACTAGTCAAACTCCTTACCATCTTACTCCTCCCTCCCCTTTCCTTCTCCTACTTGTCATCTTCTTCTTCCTGCCATCTTTTCCTCCTTTGCACATTCCCCGCGCCTTCTCCCGCCCTTCCGTCCCGCGTTTCATCCCATCCGCGTCCACGCCTTCTCCCTCCTTTTTGTCCCGCGTTTCATCCCATTTTCGACCCCGCCTTCTTCCCCCTGAGGTTCTTCTTCCCCGAATCCCCC